CCCCCCCCTTGCAATTTATTTGTGGGTCCTATGGAGCTTCCCATAATTTGGCTTTCGCTGCTTATGTCTAAGTGATGTAGTTTCACAGAGCTTTCTTACCTTTTTTTGTAACACAGCTCTCTTCCAGATGCTCGCCCTGAATAGGCCTAGCATCTTTATCTATGCCTCCAAATATTACTTTCCACCGATTATGTCATGCCTAAGTTAATCACTCCTTTATGATATCTGTGCTTACCTCACCCCTTTGTTGACATTTTCAAACCCCTTCGACTGTAGTCCTCTCTTAGATGACTAATCCTCTCTCTAACGTTTTCAATTCTTCCCTCTTTATGTCTTCCCCAAACTTGGGGAACAACAAAGGCGTAAAGAAAAGCAAAATGAGAACAAACAACTCTCCCTTGACACTGCTGCCCCCTCCTGTCAGCTTTTTTGTCCAGTCTCTCTCCCCTATAATTGCTCAGCTCCTTGAGTCCCTGAGTTCTGGATTCTGCCTTCATCAGTATATTCCAATTGTACTCTCATGGGTTGCTGATCTTCTTAGTAGTCAACTAGAGTTGTTTTACTCAGGCCTCACTCTCTTACTTTTTTTTTTTGAGGGTATTTGCTAATTTTATTAAGCCTGTATTTGTTGAACACCCATGTGAGGTCGTGTGCTTGGTGATTTGATGACTAAAAAGACACAATCCCTGCCCTTGTGCAGCTTCCAGTCTGATAGGAGAAATTGACATTGATCAAACAATCACAAATTATTATTATTTTAAAATATATATTTTTATTGATTTTAGGAAGGGAGAGGGAGAGAGAGAGAGACATCCACGAGAATCATCCATCTGCTGCCTCCTGCATGCCCCCTACTGGGGACAGAGCCCACAACACAGGCACATGCCCTGACCAGGAATCGAACTGGCCACCTCTCAGTGCATGTGACGATGCTCAACCAACTGAGCCACACCAGCCAGGGCACAATCACAAACTGTAAAATTAGAGTTGTGTTCAGTGCTAAGGAGAGGCAAATGGCCAATGAAAACATCTAATAATAGGGAGATCTGACAGAGTGTCACTGAACTAAGAGCTAAAGGATAGGTAGGAGAAAGGACGTAGAGGGGAGAGATGGGGGTGAAAGGAATTTTCTAGCAAGGGAAAGCGTATGCAAAGGCCTAGGGAGGTGGAAGCCTGAAGATTCAAGAAATTGAAATAAGACCAGGGTAGAGATGAGACTGGAGAGATAGGCAAGGGCCAAGTCACGTAGGTCATGTAGGCCCACGCAAAAGACTTGATCTTTACCCTAAGAACTGTGAAAACTGAAGAGAGAATTGGGATGAGTTATGTGACATACTCAGGTTGCATTTAAAATTTCATTTTGGCTGCACTGAGCAGAATGTATTTGAGGAGCACAAGGTTATATGTGAAGTCCAAATGGGAGGCCGTTGCAGCATTCCAGGCGGAAGGTGGTGGTGGTTTAGTCTAGGATGCTAAGTGACAAGAGATAGCAAGAAGGGGACAGATAGAGACATTCAGTGGATAAAACCCATAATGACTTGAACATGGGTTGACTGGGGTTGACATGTAAGAGAAAGACAGGTCATGAATTATTCGTAGGTTTCTGGTGTGTGTAGCTGGATGCCATCTTCTGGGATAGGGAAGACTGAGGAAAGACCATGTGTTGAGAGCCAGAGTTAGATTTTGGACATGCTGAATTTGAGATGCCCTTGAAAACTCCATGGCAGTTGGGAATCAGAGCATGGAGGTGAGGTGCAGGTATGGAACATGGGTGGGTGGTAGTTTATGTTTTGGGGGACAATGTGGTATTCCTGGAGGGAGTATAGAATGAAAGGAGAAAGGCAGCCTACTGTCTTCTTGAAACTCTCATCTGTTGAACTCTTTTATAGTTTTAAATCTACATTTATATTTACAGGCCATTTCAAGTTAATTTCCATAGATGGAGTGAGGTAAGGTTGGAGAGGTTGTTTTTGTTTGTTTGTTTTTACATATGGATATCCATTCTTTTCCATCACCAGAACACTGTTTTCTAATTGTTTTTCACTTACTGTGAACATCCTTTGTATGTGAATAAATGTTTATAACATTATTTTAAATAATAGCAAAGCATTCCAATATGTAAGGATCTTAGTTTATTTCCTTCACTTCCTGTTACTGGACATTAGGTAATTTTCTATTATTTTGCTATTATAAACATGCTAAGGTTGCAGGTTCGATTCCTGATCCCGGCACATGCCCTGGTTTCGGGCTTTATCCCAGGTAGGGGGTGTGCAGGAAGCACTGATCTATGTTTCACTCTGACATTGATGTTTCTCTCCCTCTTCCTTCCCCTTTCCCTAAAAATCAATTTAAAAATCTTTAAAAAAAATACTTTACCTTAAAAAAATACAGTACCCTGTTTCACTAATTTTACTAATCTCACTGGAGATCTTAGACGATTTGCTAATGTGAACAATTGTTACCTTTAACATTATCTCCTAGTATAAAATAAGTTAAAAACAAGTCATATTTCCTGTAATATAAGCAGAAACATGTTGTAAACTCTTAAAGGCCATGAGATCATTTTTGTTACAGTCATTTTTCACCCCGTTTCATCTTCCCATCCCAAGAAAACAGCAGATAGAAAGTTAAGAGGGCTTCTATCTCCGGATGTCCTGGAACATTATCAACAACAAGCAAAACCCCGAAAGCTGCGCTGTGCTCTGAACAGGACTTCTCTCCTCCACTAGCATAACAATTCAGGAGGGCTTCTTGGAAGAAGAGCTGAGGCATCCGTGACTTCTTATTGCTCAATGCGCATTGTGTGCTTATTGATGGGCTTGAAGGCCC